CACACTCAGTCTGCCAGGAGCTTGATCTAGGACTCCTGGACCCCAGATTGAGCAATAAGTTTCTAGGACTTTCAAGCTGCCTGGTCTCTGGTATTCATGGTGGCAGCTCCAGTGGACTAAGACATGCACCATCCACAAAAGGGAAACACAGCTAGTGGAGGGAGGCTGGGCCCCCACCTGCCCTGTTGGCTGCGGAGCCTATGAAATGACAGGTGGCCTGAGCCATGAGGCCAGGGGGGCCTGGGCTGTGGCTGCCACCACTGACCCAGAGCCAGCCTGCCTGCCCCTCGCCAGCCAGCTCTCTGGTGACTCTGGGCAGTACCTCATCGCTCTGAGCCTTGCCCTCCCTCAAAACACCCTGGCACGCTCACCAGGTGAGAAATGACGAAGCCCAAGCGATATCCTCCCAAAGGCCTTTTCTGGGCCACACAGGACCCTCAGTGTGGGGACACAGCTGTGAGCTGAATGGCCCACATGCTACCCCTCTGGAGCCTGCCTGCCTTCCAGGGGGAGGGACTGCCACACACAGCAGCCAGTGTCATCTGCTCAGGCTGCCAGGGCAGCAGCTTTCACCAGCTTGTTTATTAATAACAGAGGGTACTGGCAGATGTTGGGGCGGCCTCAGTCCCTTCCCAGTGGACAGAGCTCTCTAGCTGTGTTCTGACTCGGTAGAAGGTCCGGGGGGCTCAGTCAAGCCTCTTGTGTGTTTGTGGTACTTGGAGTCAAATCTAGGGGTGCTCTACCACTAAGCTACACCTCCAGCCTTTTTTACTTTTTATTTAAACACAGCCTCACTAAGTTGCCCAGGCAGGGCTGGGACCTGCAATTACCCTGCCTCAGCCTCCCAAGTAGCTGGGCTGAGACCTTTTTCTAAGGGCACTAATCCCATTTGTGGCAGTAGAGCCCTCGTGACTCAATCATCCCCCCAAGGCCCATCTGTGAACACTCCTGCACAGGTATTAGACTCCAGAACATTAATGTAGGGGGGACACCCACATTTTAATTATTGGAGTTAGTAAACAGGCCAGATGTGAGGCAGTGGCATGGGAGTGTAAAGGCAGGAAGCCAGGAGCAGTTGCTAGGGGATTTGCAGCAGGGACTCGGGGCCGACCTCAGAGAAGTTACTGAGCAAAGTCTGGAAGATGTGGGATGGGGGACGGCTTCCTTGGGGCTTCTAAGTGACAGTCAAGGGCAGGGCAGGCTGGCAGGTATGGTGAGAACTGGGGGGACCTGGGACGTGCTCAGAGGGAGGGGCAGGCCCTGAGCTCAGTGACTAGAGCGACCTGATCTGATCCTAGCAAGGCAGGAGAACCAACGAGACAGAGCAGAAGGTGTGGTGGGGGTGCAGCATGGTTCCACCTTGGCCAGGCCAATGAGGGAAGTGCCCACAGGGTCTGCTGAAGGGTTGGGCGTGAAGCAAAGGACTCATGCTCTAGGAACACTCAAGCTGGCATCTGCCAGGGCCCACAAGGAGCAGCATTGTTGTGCACTTGGAAGCAATGCGTCGGGTCAGTGTTCATGGTCACAGGAGGGAGAGTCATCCCCCAGAAAGGTCATTCAGGGGCTACCCTGCACCAAGCCCATCAGGTATCTGGGAGGAGCCCCCTTTCTGTGCAGGGCTAGCCATCTCCAGGAGCATCCACTATCGGGGCAGATGGGCTGGCTTTCCAGCCAGGGGTCAAGTGGGGACTGCTGCCCTCTTCGTCCCCTCAGGTCTCAGACCCTGTCTTCCTGAAGGAGGGCAGAGGAAGGCGGCCTCCTGTCCCAGCCCCAGGAATTCTCTAGGGGCACAGCCCTCTTGAAAGACACTGGGGATTATCTGCAAAATTTCAATGAAGTCCAGAGGCTTTGATAACTTGATAAACCTCTCCACAGTCACCACAGAGTCAAAGTATGCAGTTATCTGATCTGTGTTTACATTTCAGAATGGAGGGAGGGGTATGTACTGTGACCGGGAAAATGTGCACAGCCCGGACATGGTGGGTGTTGTGGCTTGTGTCCAGATGTCCCCTAAAGCCTCATACAGTCAGAGATGGGGCTCTTTCAGAGGTGGCTGGATCCACGTGTGTGAGGTTGGAATTGATTCATGGTGCAATGCTAGGATTGAGGGTGCTAGGAGGGAGGGTGTGAGTGCCGCCCACCCTCAGTGGCCTGGGGAAGATGAAAGGGATAGGAAGAGCTGTGGTCATCCCTTGCTTGCTTTGCTATTTTGGCCCACCATGAACTGTCTCTCCTCTGCAGTGCCACCCTGCTTGGAGTCAACTGATGATGGATTGAAACCTGTGAGCTAACTAAACCTCTCCTCCTTTAACTTTGGTCTCGGGTATTTTGTAATGAGAAAAGTAACTAAGACAGCAGGGTGGGCACTTGGCTGACATAGGCAGCCCGTGGGCCCAGCCCTGTACAGAGAATGAGCATACTCGGAATTGGAGCCAGGTCCCTGACGGCAGGTCTCAGGCAGTGGAGATAGTGTCAGGGTCAGGCAACAAGCGCTCTCAAAACTGCCCACGACCCAGCCACCTCCTGGGCTTCTGGTCCACCTCAGGGCTGGAGGGATTCCTTTTCTTAGGCCTACTGCTTGACAGACTAGTGGTGAGCCTCTGTCATTATGGTGATTAGGGACTAGATGCTTTCCAATCAATCCATCCCTGCTAGGGCCAGGCTGTGCTCCACAGGCTGTGCTCCAGTCAGTTCTGTCCTGCAGCCTTCCCTGGACAACTGCTGACCACATGCCTACAGAACTGACCGGGTTGTCTCAGGGAGCCCTCTTGCCTACTCATGTGCTAAGCACTATCTCACTTTAGAGCTGGGAAAAAAGAGGTACAAAGAGGTTGGGGAAATGGTCAGAGATCACAGAACCTTGCCAAGCATGGTGGCCCATGCCCATCACCCCCACACTGGGGAGGCGGAGGCAGGAGGAACACAAATTTGAGGTCAGATTGGGCTACACACAAGTTTTCACGTTCAAGGTCAGCCTGGACTACATAGCAAGACCCTGTCTCAAAAGTAAAACAAAACAACCTCCCACAAAGATCACAGGGCCTTAAATGAGAAGCTGTGCTCTACTGTCTCAGCAACTCGTGAAACTCTGGGACTGCTGTGTGGTTCTCCACTGCTTGAGCCAGAGGCCTGGGAAAGCTCAGCCGATGGGTGCTGATGCAGAGGCCCAGGTAATCAGCCGATGCAGAGAGCGGAGATTGCTCACAGGGACCAAAGCAGTCAGTTGCCTTTGTGGCAAAACACCTGCTACTTCAGCAGTGCACCCTGCCCTGGCTGGCCCACACCTTCCAAGGGGCAAGCCTGAGCCGCTACTCACTCTTTTGGGGGGTTGATATCCTCAGGTCGGGCCTCAAAGAACTGAAAGACTTCATCACACTGGGAAATGTGAGGAGGTAGCCGGATGAGTGCCTGGGGAAAGACAGGAAGAAAAGGTATGAGGCGTGACAAATCTGGGGACAGGAAAACGAAGCCAGCCTGGGCTGGTGTGATGGGAAGTTCAAGGACTGTGCATGGAAGACAATCAGCCAACCACCCAACAGCCCCAGCAACAACTCAGCTTCGAATTAGGCAGCTAACTGATGAAACAATCATCCATCTACCTATCCATCCATCTCAACTAAAAAAACAAACAATCAACTACACAGTTAATCAGTAAACGAACAAAACAGCTAATAAAGATCAATCAGTCCACTATTAGCTACCCAGTGAATATTAGCAAGTCAACAAACTGAACAGAACAATCAATAGCCCATGAACAAAAGCTAGGTCTCAGGGCCCTTGAGATTTATGAAAGCTCTGCGGGAATCTGTCCTACCCAGAGTAAATCCTCTAAGATCCCCACCCTGACAGTGTGAGGCCTCCTCCTACTGGCCTCCCATCAGCCAATCTGCAGGCACCAGAGGCCCAATTCTGACACCCGGAGGCCCCGGCCTACCCTACAACACATTGTGTAGTGACAAACCCATCGTTGCTGCCGATGCTACAGGGTGCTATGGGGGCGGTTGGAGGTTTCAAGAAGGAATCTTTGAAGCTGAGTTCTGAAGGATAGCCAGGAAGAACTGGGGGAGGTGGGCAGGAGTTGGGTGAAGGTCACCGTGGGCCAAGTGCAGAGAAGGGAGGCAGGCAGGGGCTGCTCAGAGGAGGCTGCGGGACAGGGTAAGGGAGCCCAGGCTGGAGCCAGGAGGAGACAGTAAGCTGGGACAGATAGCACAGTCAGAAGCCGAGTTCCTGTCACGTGCTTGGAGGATGGGCAATGCCTGACACAGCAGCTTCGGGGTCCTTTCAGCGTGGCCATCTTGCGATGGCCCCGTCCCCATCCTGCTGGTGAGGAAACAGAGGCTCCCACCAGGTGTGGAAAGAGGATATGAACATAAGCATCACACACACACACACACACACACACACACACACACACACACACACCCTGGTCTGTCCTGTGTCCCTGATCCCAGCAGGGTGCCGGACACTAAAGAGGCCCTGAGTGAGCCAAATATGGTGGCGCAGACCTGTAAATCCCAGCACCCTGGAGGCTGAGCCATGCAAGTTTGCAAGTTTGAGCGCAGTACGGGCCACTTAGCAACCTAGTAAAACCCTGCTTCAAAAAATAAGAAAGGGCTGGGGTGGAGCTCAGTGTAAATCCCCAGTCTGAGAAGAAAAAAAATGAATGAAGACAATGAAATACAGATAAATGAAGAGAGGAACAGGAACAGGGCTTTGGTGTTCAGAAGCCCAACACTTGAGAGCAGGGGGACGTGGAAAGAAGGCAAATGAATAAGTAAGTGCATCTGGTCTTAGAATGCTGAGGATGGGGAGCCCTGGCTTCACCCCTCTCTAGACTGGTTTATCATCCAGAATCAGGCTTCCTGCCAGGAGGCCCCTCCGGATGCCAAACAAGCCCAGGCCTCTGCAGCTTCCGGTTCCTCCTAGAGCCCGTGGATCTTGGGGGGTCCCTGGCACGTCACATCCTGTCAGCACCCAGGAAAGGGAGGGAAATAATGCTTTTGGAGCAGTGAGTATGTGCCGGGCACTGCCCTCAAGTCATCTGCCAATAGCAAGAGCTTCTCGGGTGTGGGCAGGGGACTATGCCTTGCCGTTGCTAGGTGAGGAGGACACAGCTCCACCCCCTGTGCCCCTGCAGCTTCCTAGAGACAGACAGCACCGTCTCCACCTGTGATGATGAGGATGAAGCTGGGGATTGGAGCTGGGAAACCACAGGTCAGTCACTGAGGGAACCCTAGCCCCACGCTCAGAATGTAGGACCAGAATGTAGGACAGAAGGGGCTTGTCCCTGAAGGGTTCAAGATTTCACGGAACTCATCTTTTTCCCTCAGGAAGTGGGGAAACAAGAGGATAAACTGAGGGAGACAGTCAGGCATGCAGAAAGGCAGGAGGGGAGAGAAAATGTGAAGGGGAGAAGAAAGGCAGGCATGCGCTGGTGGGAAGGCCGAGGAGACCAGGATGGGTCCCCAGAGTGCAGGGTAGCTGCCAGTGACCTCTCCCAAGGCAGGAGGTGGTGATGGGGCCGGAGAGGCACCTTCACCAGCCCGGAGTGCCAGAGCCCTTCCTGCTGGCACCGCCTCTCCCTGGACTCAGCTGGGCCGGGATCATCTGGCCCCAAGGGGAACAGAGGGGCTCTTCAAGCCGGGCCATGAGTGCCTTAGACAAAGAGGGCTTTGGGGGACTGACTGTGCGTCTTCAGTTAACAGGGGGCCCACAGGCGGCCATCTGGAGGGCCTGTCCCAACTTCAGACGGATAAGAGGCTCTCGGGTCAGAGTAGCTGCCCTCAGAGCTGACGCCAAAGGCCACTTCTGGCCCAAACTGTCTGGCAGGAGAGGCTGGTGCTGAGCAGTCTGTCCCTGGGGCAGTGCCAGCAACAACAGCCAGAAGTGGGAATCTCAAACCCAGCGGGCTTTGTGGCACAAATGCAGCCCCTGCCCGTTCAGCTCTGTGTGGCAGCTCCAGCACGGCAGCCACCAGCTTTCCGTGCCTGGTGCTGATACACACTGAGTGACTGCTACCTTTTCTCTTTTGTGTTTTTTTTTTATGGGTTTTTTGTTTTTCAGGTTTGGTGCTGAGGAACGAACCCAGGGCTTCCAGCTTGCTAGGCAAGCGTTCTACCACTGAGCCAAATCCCCAGCCCCGACTGCTACCTTTTCTAACTTCACTGCTACTTCTGTCATTGTAACTGGGGAGAGAGCAGTGACGCACAACAGAAAGAGCACCAGGATGGGAGTTAGAAGACCTCAATTCTAATTCTAGCCCCGCAGTTATGTATTTGTTGGGTCAGCCGGGCATGGTGGCACATGCCTGTAATTCACAGCATTAGAGGAGGCTGAGGCAGGAGGACTGCAAATTCAAGCTCAGCTTGGGCACTTAGTGACTCAGTGAGACCTTGCTTAAAAAAAAAAAAAAAGGATGGGGGCTGAACCCCATGGGCACACATGACACGGTGCTTTGAAGGACTCCTGTTCTGGCTTTGGGGACCACCACATTCATTAGCATATCAAAATATCTAGGAAGTCCTGCAGGGACTTGGTTTAGGCTGGTTTAGACTTGGTTTAGGCTGGTTTAGGACATCCTGTTAGTAGTTAACAGCTCATCCTATTAGCAGCACACTGACTCACATAATATCCCATCAGTGCTAACAGCAGAGCATAACTGTGACTCCCATAGGAGGAACTAAAGGCAGGGGCTGAAGAAATTCCCCAAGGCAACATGGCTAGTAAACAGCATAATTTTGCCTCTGGTGTTTGAGTCTAAGACCCTGTCCTGTCTGACTCTCTGCTGGCTATGACTTCCAGTGCTGTGCACAGGTGTGTACTGTGGTGATGCCCTGTGGGACACAGGGAGGTATACTCAGGTCAGAGGCATTCTGGGAGGCCCCCCAGCTCTAGCATCCAGACAGCACCACTGTGGTGCATTCATTTATCTGCTCTGTCAGTCAACCTGATGAGTCCGCTTCTGACAGGGCTCCGACTCAGGGGTCGGGGGTCCTGTTGGCACTAGGCTAGGCAAAGACTGGAATGGGCATGACCTCGTGCCCTGCGTAGGTCCCTGTGGGAGGTCCCTGCCTGACCTCAGTGCCCTGGCACTGCCAAGCTGAGTTGGAGTAGGCAGGAGGAGGTCTGGAGACATGGGCTGTGGCTGGCGCCTGGGTGAAGGGGCCAAGGAGGGGCGCTGAGAGCATCCTCTGGGCTTGGCATCAGCTACTGCTAAACTGCCCCTGGGTCTCTAGCTCCTGCCCCTTGAGACTTGTAGAAGACAACATGGGCACCTCTTCTTGAATGCAGAACCAGAGCTTAGTTAAATGGAGGCTTATTTCCATGTACTGATATGCACAGAGCTGGCTATGGTATATCTTTCTCTCTTCAATGGGCTCTAAGCAATGCAAACAAGGATAGTTGAAGTGCTAGTATGAAATCTTCCGGGCCATTCTGACAATCTCCTGTTTCCTTATAGAGTGCTCTCTGTGAAAGATATGAGCACAGCAGGATGTTAGAGCCACTCAGCTCCAGGAATGTCAACTGGGTATGAGCCTCAAAGTAAGAGGCTATGAGTCCCCAGGGCACAAAAATTTACATATCAGAAACTGAAGCAACAGCTTCCAAAAAGAATTCAGTTGCTACCTTAATTGAATTACGCAGATTGATCCTTCTGCATGTCATTCTCCCTGCATTTTGCAGAGATGTTTTTCTCCCCACCTGGCCAGCCAGCTCAAGTCACTCATAGTACCCACCATCCTCACTGTCACTCATCCTCAGCCATCCACTTCTTCACAGGATAATAAATTTTGGGAGAGGCCTTGGGTCAGGGCCTTTGTCCACATATCCCCACTGGCCCTCAGGAGGACAGGGAAGTGACCCACTTTCTCCTAGGCTGGCAGTACCCTTCCTGGGTCTGCTAGGGAGACTAACTACTAACCAGGCTTTGTTGATGACAAGAGTACTCAAGAGATAACAATCAGACTGCCTGTGCCTCGGTCTCACCCATTAGCCATACTGCTGGCCCCGTCATCCTCAGAACAAGGGCCACAAGAGTACAGTCACCCTCCCTGAGCAGACTGCCAGTGATGGGCTGAGAAAAATCCCATTGATACATGAGTATCAGGACTTAGGGTTCCCTGCCATGTAACGACCCAGGTTTGGAAACTAGCCTGTGGGGCTGAAAGGGTGTGAGCCTGGGAGGTGAGGAGGCGATTACAGCCCTCAGTGCTGATTCTGGGTGGTCTCAGGCTTCCTGCGCCCATCTGAGTACACTCAGCCCCCACCCCTGAAAGCAAATGTGAATGGAGGGAAGGACAGATACGCCAGCATTTAACACAGCAGAAAAGTCACCAAGAAACGAGGCCTGATTTAAATGTCCCAGTGTGCAGGGTGAGCTGGCCATTCTCACAGGTCCCCCCTCTCAGACACGCTGTACACTGGGATAACTTATTTCATCCCCAGGAGAAGCTGCCAGTATGTGCATTACCCACAGGAATGGGGTAAATGGAGTCACATATTGTTAGTCTGCTAGCCTGAGAACTATTAAATAGGAACCACACAACCACACTGCCCATTAAACTAATCTACAGAGTTTTAAAAAAATGCCTTTGTAACCCCTTTTTGTTAGACACCTGGCCTCAAGCGCCACATGAAACAACTGCCCGGCCACCGTCTAGTATTTTTTCCATGATGCTGATCCAATCTACTCCATATATGTGTACAGTTATTCTTGATATTTGGGCTGAGAAACCAGAGTTAGGCTAGGGACAGTTGACCGGTGAGGGTAGACTGACCAGCAGCAGTCCTTGGGGACAACCTCTGTGTGGCTGGATTTCCTACATCTGAACCCACTCCACACTAGCAGCCTCACAGTTTTGGGTGCAGCTGACCTCCACTTTATCCTAGCCCAGGTCAGTACTGCCTAGCACGAGTGGACCTAAATGGAGCTGGACATGCAAGAGAGAGAGCAAGTGGGGATTCCAGAAGCTCTGGGCAGTGTACTTTCCAGGAAGGGGGAGACATGGGAAGCATGGGAAGGACACATAGGGCACAGGCTGTGAAGCTGGCCACAGTGGACAGTGGTGTCCTGTGTGCATAGATTTGTCTGGAAGCCGAATTGTAAGATGCAGTGCGGGTGGCAATGACCACAGACGACCGCAGGCTCATCCCACTGATCACTGTGAGGTCAGCAGGTTTCTTGGACAATTGGACCACAGATCTCAGTTCTTTAGTTCAGCAGAATTAAATGTCAGTCTGTACTGCCCACCCCACTCCACAACATTCTCAGAGTAAGTTCCTGTCTGGGAGACAGAAAGCCAGTGGACAGTGAGGTAGCCAGATGCCGGGGAGCTCCTGTCTGCTAATCATGCTAGGAGGCCCCTCTGCCCATGGGTCACACCCACACAACTCCCCCGACCACCAGCAATGCCCCGGAGCCCCAGAGCCTTCAGGAGTCCTGGTCAAAGCCTTATCCCCAGAGACCCGCTGTCACTGATCCTGGAGCCCAAGGGAGATGCCCTGGGCTCCCCAGTGCTGGGAGGCCGAGGCTGATTTGAGCTCTAAGTCCCAGATGGAAAAAGGCTTCCTCCAGCCTTTGCCCTTTCTTCACTAGCTTTGCTCACCTATTTAACTTCCTAGGAAAGGAATAAAGAGAAATCAAAGCTTAGGCAATAGCCATCGAGTTAACTAGAAACAGCAAATGTTCCTTAACGTGAAAAATGCTATTGATCTGAGGAAGAGGGACAGCCCGCTCAGGGGAGTTCATTCCCCAGGCAACATTAGGATGAGGAGACCCTGCAGGGAGTAACGTGCCCTTCTGCTGACCGGCAAGCAAGTGGGAGCGCCAGGCTTCGCAGAGGCTGGTGGATGTCAGTTAATGAACTTAGCAGGTTGGCTTCAATACTTCTACTGCTAAGCATAATAGTTCAGAATTACAAAATATTAGAGTAGCAACGGACCTTAAGAGGTAACAGATATACATAAGGACAAAGCACTGAACATCTCTCCCTTAGCCCCCAAAGACCATCCTCTCTATCCCCTCTTTGCAGACGAGGGAAGTGGGCTCCAAGAGGTAAAGCCATTTGCTCAAGGGCCCAGCTAGGAATTGTGGCCCGGATTTGACTCCAGCTCTCCTCATGCTAACAGCCAGACTCTGCCCACACCTGACAGCAGGCTCAACTCCCCGAGAAGTGCGAGGTACACTGTGCAGGAGGCTACATTTCACCAGGAAATTCTATTTCTACTAAAGCCAGTGGTACACAGCGGTGATGCTAAATCATTGCTGTTCTACTTATTTGCTTATCTTATCTGCCCTTGTACTTTTTTATTTGCACTCATTCACTCATTTATTTTTTGGTGGTGGGGATTGAGCCCAGGCCTTGAGCACGGGAGGCCAGAGCTCTGCCACTGAAACACCTCCAGCTCTTTATGTGTTTTTAAGCTTCTTTGTTTATGTAATACAAATGTTTGTGCCTTGAATAATAACCCAAAGCACTTGCTGAATGGTTCCTCTGAAACAGACGGTGCACAGGGATCTGACATCTCAGTTCACTCCAGCCCCCTGGCCACCTGCCGCAAGGGGAATATTCCCCTCTATACTGTGCAGATACAAACACTGAAGCTCCAGGAAGCCAAGTAACGGGCCCAAGTTCAGGGATCGAACCCAGGCAGTGTGGCCAGCCTGAGGATACAGACCTATAGCCTTGCAAGTTAACAACAGAGTGCCCAAATACCCCTCAAAGCAAAAGGACACCCGGGCTCTGGTTCATGACAGTGCTGTCACACCTATGTCTTCCAGAGAGACAGAGAGAGAGAGAGAGAGAGAGAGAGAGACAGAGACAGAACAGAGGAGGGAGGGAGACCATTTACATATGTAAATATGCATATGTGAACATCTGCATCTATCAAGACTTATGTGAATAAATGGATGTGCATTCCAGATGCCACTGAACTCAGAACTGACTACAAGAGCCCAAAAGGAATTCAAAAAAATGGTTCTATATCCAGAAAAACACCACACAAAAATCCCTTCAATATGAGGCCTTAACTTAGCTCCCAAGCTGGTAGAAGTGACTGGAAATGGCATTTTGTAAACATGGACAGGTCCAGAAAGCAGCAGAGTGCTAGCTGTGAATTCACAGCCCTTATGTCCCAGCAGGCGGCCCGGCCATGGGATGACCGCTCCCCAAGGGACACTCACTTGAGCCTACTGGCCAGGACACACCGGTCCTCAAGAGGTTGTTATGCAGATAGGCACACCTTCGGGCGAGGTGTCCCTCCTCACCCCAGACAAACTTACCCGGCAGTACTCGTCGATGGGTTTCAGCCTCTTCACAGCTACATCCCGGATGTGGCTTCTCCGGAAGAGGATTTTGCCTGGAAGACAGAGTCTCATGAGCTGGGTGATTAAGGCTAAAGCGTCCCTTTTCCTTCTCCTTGGCCTCAGCATCTTAGCTGGCCACTGGCCACTGCCACCTCTGTCCACTGTTAAAGAACCAAAACCCAAAACCCAGAGAAGAACAGTCACCTCTACTGGGGGACAGGAGGCGCCCAAGTCTGAGGGCCCAAGGCCTCTCTCTGGGTGCTGCCATCTTGGGCGTCTATGAATGACTTGGCTGAGTCACCTTATCTCGGTCTAAAGCAGGATCACTGCCCGACGCAGGCGTGGCTCCTAAATGAGCTCACACATGAAGAGCGGCCCAACCCACCTGCTATGTTTTGTTTTCAGGCCCATCCTTCCTTGAGAAATCAGCATTCATTTCTGCCAGCTGGGCAGGAATTCCCAGTCTTTGTTCAGGTGGGTGGCTACTTCCAGGGCGGGCTCAAGCCTAGGCCAAGGGATTATGGCTTCCCCAGCCTGACTGTGCCCTGGCTTCTCTGTGTACACAGCAGCCAAGTATCTCTCTATAGACATGGGCAAGTCTCACAGGAAATGCCACAGCTCTGGTCACATCCAATCGTGACAGATACATCAATGCATAGTCCTTTTCAGCCTGTTAAATTTAGAATCTAAACTTATTGGTTTGATATTTAAGGCCTTACACAACTGACTTCTGCGTCCAGTGGCCACCAATGTCCACCAGTGACAACGTGCCCTTGCAGAAGTCCTTCCTCGGGCAAAGGAGATGGGAGTAATTCTCCACTTTCCGGAATACCCACAGCATTGTGAGCACTGGCTGCATTTTGCTGACCATCGCAGGACCCAAGGAGCTGGAGGAGTCAGAAGTGCTCAGTTAGAGCCCTAATACACATCTGTGGTTCCAGCCCATCACTGGAGGAAGATTCCTACACTGTCAGTCCTCACGGTCCTAGGAAGCTAATCACACCCCTTACAGTAAGGTTACACAACCACGTAGCTTAATCAGCGAGCATCATGCTGGCTGCCTGGGGTTGTGCAAAGGACCTCGTCCTGGCCACTGAAGGTCAGTCCCGAGGCCTCTCCCTGGATTGGAAGTGACTGGATATGGCATTCCGGCCCAGAGAAAGCTGACGCCTCTAGTGGCCACACTTATGATTGCACTTGGAGTACAGTAAGTTCAATAAATGCTTCTTGAAAGGTGTAATAGCCAAGCCAGGAGAGGGCTGGGGGCCGATGCCTGGGACATTTCTCAGCAGCTGGATACAGCTCTTCTTGAACCCAAGGTCATTCCAGTACTTTTCTCTCGTGAGAAACAATAAAAATCTCTCATTTGTTTAAACTAGTTGGAGAAACCGTTTGGTAACTTGTGTCACCTGTTAGGGTCATTTCCATCATGTGTGTGTAGAAGTGCAGGCTGCATGTCACCCTGCTCAGGTTGCTTCTGCCCGGCCCATGAGAAGTATAACAAAGGCCCCTGGCTTGATGTCTATGCTTCCCCAGAAGCAGCCCCAGAAACAAGCGTTTGTGTGCAGCTGGTTGCCACAGGAGGCATTCCCAAGGTGTCATTAGAGGAGAAGGCGAATGGAGGTGGGGCAGAGACAGGACAATGACCAGGGCAGTCGCTCTGGGGGCCACTGGAGCTCAGCCCTGTTGGGGAATATAGGAGAGGAAGCAGAGTACCTCAGAGAGGGGATTCCTGAGGCTGGGAGGAAGATCAGAGTGTTTTTCTACCTGTGTCCTGCTGGTCACTGGAGGCTGCCCCAGAGCATCAGTGCTGGCAAGCAGAAGGGAATGGACCAGAGCTGGATAGAGGCACAAAAGTAGCTGCTGAAGCCATCTGTGACCTCCTCATCACCATGGCACAGGCCACCAGCCCCTCTCAGTCAGCCCGTGGAACGCTAAGGACATCACAGCACAGGCAACGAGCCTCCCCCGAGCCCACGGTCTGTGGCTCATCCTCCTGTCTGCCCCACACCCCACAGGGCATGGCCTTGGCATACAGCAGCTGCTGGCTGGCTCACTGTCCTCCAGAGCCTCTTGCTGGGGTCCTCCGGCCCTCGACACTCTCCAGAATCAGGAAGCCGGCCACCTCCTGCAGACGGTCTGCACTGCAGACTACATGTATCACCATCACTGGGACAAAACTCTGCCAGGCACCTCTTGGGAAAGGAGATAAAAGGTGACTTATCAGGACACTGGCGAGGGCTGCTCTGCTTGGGGGAGATGTCACAGACTTGGAATTCCCTGCCTCTTAGCCTCCTCCCCTTTTTTGGATGCCTGTCGCTTTCCTGCCTACACACCACAGGAGCACGTGTGTGTGCAGGCATGGGGAAGCTGGGTCCAAACATATCTCGGCGTGAGAAGACCCTCATTGGGCCTGGCAAGGACCTGGGGTCCAGGCCATCCACTGGGGCTGGCTGCTTGCCAGCAGGAGCTGGTGGGCCTAGACCAGGGACACAGCTGACTGAGAAATAGGGGACACCGGGGGAAGGCCACCAACCTGATGGGGTAGAGGCCACATGGGAAGGAGGAGACAGACAGACAAACAGACCCCTCGCACCCACAGGCTGGCCATGTTTCTGGCTGATCCTTGTGTTCTGGGGATGTGGATATCACTCCTGTTGCAGTGACGGAGATGGAACTAGTTAAGAAGAAAAGGGCAAAGAAACACTGCAGACCTCAGTGAGTGCAGAGTTCAGATGAGGCGGGGTGGCCGAGGCGGGGTGGGGGCTCCCTGACTCTGCTCCACCCTGCCCTGAGCAGGGCCCCATGGGTCCCGTGTACTCACTGCTGCAAATGAAGCCCTGGGACCCTGGTGTGGGGTCTTCAGGCCCCTGCACAAGGCCAGGGGACCTGCTGCTTAGGGGCGAGGTCAGAGGAAAACTCCTGCCTGGGCCAATCCCTGTCTGTTTTGACAGGAGCAATGCTTTCTTTTGGGGGTCCTTTGGGACAGTCCGCCAGTGGGGGCAGGTCTGGGAGGGGCTCTACAGCCTTGACTTCTCTGTGAGGAATCCAAACTGCACACAGAAAGCCATGCTGTGACTGTATTAAGAGGGAGAGAGAACAGAAGATGAAAATTCTCATTAAGAAGGCTGAGACCATGGGACATTAAATACAGCTTATAAATCACAGCAGCCCCTTTGTGGGGGAGGGCTTGGCTTCTGCCACAGGCTTCAAAGCCAGGAGGATGCTGCCCCAGTAATATGATAAGCATCGTAAGGCAGATGATAGGCAGGGCTGGCCTTAACTCATTCCTGGAAGTGGAGAAGAAAGCTAGGAGCCTGGCAGTGTCTGTGTTGGGGCGTCCGTCTTCCTGCCACTTGGGGCTGGGCTCAGAAGGAGCAGGCCTTAAGTGAGAGTGCTGGGTTCAAGTCCCACCCGGGCCAGGGAAGAGCCACTCGACCTCATAGGCGATGTGTCCTCCGCAGAGACCTTTGGCTCTCATCTGGATCCTGGCTCCATTCTGTTCCCTCAGAGGCTCTGAGATGCATCCCTGCAGGTGGTGGGCTTGGGAGGGGTGGAGGGGGACAATGAGTGGTGGCAACAGCCAAGGGCACGCTGATTGAGTACTTGCTCAGGGGGTCCCGTTGGCCCTTCTCAGTTAATCCAATATCCCTGGCCAATGTTGTCCAGGGGGAGATGGTCGTTCAGGGAGGTCAGAGCTGTCCGTGGTCACACAGCCATGCAGTGGCTGAGCTATGATATCAGTGTAGGGGTTCCCAGCTCAGGGAGTGATGACAGGGAATCCAGAGGGTTCTTTTGGGCTCAGACTGTGTGAGCTCCAGAGCCAAAAGGATGAACTGGCACTGGATTGGTAAGTGGGGGAGACAAGAACAGCAAAGTCCCTAGGTGAACCATGGCCTCCAGGGCTCTGTGAAAAGTGGCACATAGGGGACCCCATGAGGGTCGGGGGCCAGAGACCTGAGAAGCAGAAACACTAGACACAGAACTGTGGGCAGGGGGCACCTAGCCCCAGACGGTTCTCCACAACCTGGGTGTGTGTTCTTATGCAGGTGAGCACCGGTAGGTAGTGTGTGTGTGTGGTGGGGGGGGGGGGTAAGATGTGCTGGCTCCTGGGTGATGGGACAGGGATAGGCTTATAAGCTTTTGGGTCTGATCAGGCTGGTCCACTCCTGGTAGTGCTCCTTTTCAGGATACACCACAGTATCCATGCACATATGTTTATGCCTCTTCCCTGCCTCTTCCACCACCTGGGATGCTATTCAGTACGCAGTGATTCCCTTCCACCTATACATCCACCACACACCTGTCCACCTAGCCATCCATCCATCCACCCTTCCATCTGTCCATCCATCCACCAGCCACCCACGCACCCATCCACACACCCACCCACCCACGCATCTATCTATGCTTTCTTATCCTTCTGAGGCCACCCTGCCTTGGAGCCAACTGAGTATGGACTGAAACCTCCAAGAACTATAAGAAATAAACCTTTCCTCCCTTCATTTTGAGTGTTGGGTATTTTGTCTCAGCAATGAGTAAAAAGTAAGACAGATCTCAACCACTCTTCTGGTTCCACCAACGACCCACTTTCCAACTAGTGGCGGGATAATATTTACTTACTCGAAGCTTCCAGCAACTGTCCTGACACTGACAGTAAAATCCAATCCTTCCTACGCCCTGGGGCCAGACAGGGGCTGAACTTCTCCTCAATTTGAGTTCTGCCATCGCACCCCAGGGCCCAGGCCACCCCTTCTCTTCCCTGGGGTCACACTGCCTCCTCTTCAGGAGCCCTGCACTCCCTTGCCCCTGCATGGCTCACCCCTTTGAGGCTATGGATCTCCACATAGTGAAATGTGGCCACACTGGGGAGGCATTGGCTTCTCCCAGCTCCTTGCCAGACCTGGAATTTTTCCCTCCCAGACTTTGCCACCATCTGCAATGATTTTATTGACCACTGTTCCCCAGGTTTCCACAGCATAGGACACAGGAGTCCTGAGGTCAACGGCAGTGTTCCAGGGCCACACTGAGACTGATGTGTGCTGTGTCAGTCTTGCTCTGGGACATCCCGTCCACACACACACACACACACACACACACACACACACACACACGCTCTAAGGTGCCAGCAAATGCAGCTCACCCCACACTCATGCGGGCTGGGACCAGGGGTAGACTCATCCTCTAGGGCCAGACAGAGTGGGGCCAGAACTGCTTAACTGAACCCAGAGCTGGCACTGGGGCCAAGCCATTATGCCCCACGCAGGCGTGGGCGTCAAGGGCAGGGGCTCAGCACTGGCTCAGCACCCGCCCTGTGGGAGCCCAGGGATAAAGGGGCCATTCAGCAGCCTCCACTACTCCCTGCTGGGAGCTGCCCACAGGAAAGGGGGCGCTGGGAGGCTGGGCAGAACTTCCTGGCAGCTGTTCTCTTTGGCCTAGCCTACAGCGTGGGGGCCAGGTGGGTGCATAGAAGCCCTACCTCGAGGGGGTGAAGGGCTTTGGGGCAGGCCAGTGGCTGTCCCAGCTCTACCATGACCTGAAAGGCACTTGTTCTGCTGATGCTTGGACACAGAAGAAAATTCCCTCTAGGCAGAGGTTCATGGAAAATGGCCTCATAGCCACAGGCCTGGCCCACCAGCCAGGGGGCCAGCTTGCCTGGCTGTCCCAGCATGGACGCTGTCTCCCAAGCCTGCTTTTCCTGAGCTTCAGCTCTGTTGGTAGAACTGAGCCCAGACTACCAGCTCTGCTCAGTCACATCTCCTCAGTATTTCCTGGGGCTCTGCCTCCCCATCTTTGTGGGTGTGATGAAATTATCAGGACAGAACATGCACAAAGCACCCGATCTGTGCAAAGCTCTGTGCTGTATGTTTTCCATTCATCTCACACAGATCTTCATAACAATCCATGATATAGATACTGGGTATAGTCGATATTCCCATTCTATAGATGGGTAAGTGAAGGTCAGAAAACCTGAGAGACCTGCCCAAGGTCACACACTAGCCATTGGTGGAAGTCTCCTTCTTCAGGCAGACTGAAGGTATACATTCTTTGTTCTTCTGTGATGTCCTTCCTTTCTCCATATATTCTCTTGCCTGCCTTCCCTGAAAGAAATCTCAACATGGCCTCAACCTCATGAGTGAGGTCACTCATTCTGTCCATTCTAAGTGTCAGGACTGGACTGGGATGTGATGGTGACCAGTACAGACAGGGTCCCTGCTGTCCCAAAGGACATGAATTGTGGACCCTGAGCTGCCAAGTGTCTGCCGAGATGGGACACTGATGGGGGACACAGATCTGGAGAAGGTAGAGACAAGCCAGGCACAGGAAGCAGGAAGGATGACCCAGGCTAAGGAGAAGTCTGAGCAAAGGTCCAGAGACTGG